CAGAGACAACAGCATGAACGGCTGGGACCCCCCGACCTGCGGGAGGCTCGGGGTCCCGCCACGTGCGGGACGGGGCTGTGGCACGCTGGGGACCCGGGTCGCGGAGAGGGACGCTGTGTCCTGGGCAGACGGGGAGGTGCTGGAAGCCTTCGCCTGCTGACACGCTGTCTCTGGCTTATTCTAACCAGGGCTTACAAAAAGATAGAAGAGGATGACCTGAAGTTTCCACTTATCTACGGGGAAGGCAAAAAGGTGAAGTGCTGTGGCAGGAGCTGTGTGGGGGTTGCTTCCCACCTGCCCTCGATGACTCGGGGGTTTCCAGCCCATTTTTGCTGGTGCTATCACCACTCCAGTGCCACCGATTCTCAGGTGGGCATGAGGTGGAGATGAAGTGGCTTAAAGCTTTCTTTTGGTTTCACCGTTCTCCAGGCTCGGATGATGGCCACAATTGGGGTCACGCGGGGCCTGGGAGACCACGACCTCAAGGTGTTCAGCTCCAACATCCGCATCAAGCCTTTCCTGTCCTGCTTCCCGGAGGTGAGCCTGGCTGCTGGCTGCTCTGCACCCAGGGATTCCTGTGATGGCTGGAGCCGGTCGGGGTGGCCGGATCCCCAGTGTGCCCAGTGCAGTGGCTCGGGGCATCACCAGCACTCGCCCAGGCTCTCCAGGAGCCTCCTCGGCCTCTCTGCCCCTCACCCTCATGTCTTGCCCCATTGCTTGCCAGGTCAGGGTGTACGACCTCACGCAGTACGAGCACTGCCCTGACGACGTTCTGGTCTTGGGTACTGATGGGCTCTGGGATGTCACCAACGACAAGGAGGTGGCCAGCGTGGTGATGGAGGTGCTGATGAGCTACGAGCCCAACGACCCGTGCAGGTGAGCTGAGGGTGGGCAGGGGGATGAGTGTGTCCTGCTCTAGGGCATCTTCCTTGCTCCTTGGAGCAGTGTTGTGGCCACATGTCCCTCTGGCCTCGGGGCTGGCACTGCTCCGCAGCGTGCAGTGCTCCCCTGGATGCGCGTATCTGAGCTCGGATCTCTCCCCTCCAAGGGACCCTTTGCTGCACCTCTAGCTCCTCCAGCTGCTTCCTTGCCAGGGGCCGCAGTGTGCTGCGTCAGGGAGTCTGCAGGGTCTGGGGCCGCTGCTGAGCACTGTGCTCTGCCCCCAGGTACACCATGGTGGCCCAGGAGCTGGTGCTGCGGTCCAGGGGGGTGCTGAAGGAGCGGGGCTGGCGGCTGGCCAACGACAAGCTGGGCTCCGGCGATGACATCTCTGTCTTCGTGATCCCTCTGGGCGGCCCGGGCAGCTACACGTGATGCCCAGAGACCCCGGGGCAGAGGGCTCGAGGCGAGTGGGACACCGGTGCTGCCTCGGGGCCCCCTCACCCTCGAGCACTTGTTTCCTGAGCCGACTGTGAGAAGAGTAAGGAACCTGGAGCCTCTGCCTGTGCCCCAGACCCTGCCCAGAGTATCCCCCTCCCCCTGCTGCATCCCAGCCCTGGGCGGAGAGGGGAGGGCCTTGGACAGAGAGCGGGGATGGGGGTCGAGGGGTGTTTTTTGTGCTGCCACTTTCTTGATTGCTGTGAAAAGCCAAAATCCTCCCCGGCTTCTCGGTGCGTCCTGTGCCCCTTGCCCGGGGCCGGGCTGTGCTGGTTCCAGCGGTGGGGCACCCGACCTGGAGAAGCGTGTGCTTGCTGCTGCAATCGTCCTCTCCCCTCGCCCTGGGACACTTGCACCAGTGACAGTGAAGCTGCTGCGGGGCAGGGCGGGCCGTGGCCTGGGGTGAAGCCCAGCCGGCAGCCGGGTGATGCTCAGCCCCGCAGAAGTCGGGCTGGGGGCGGTGGGGTGGGTGGGTGAGCCCCGCGACTGA